CCAGGAAAGTAGAAATAATATTTACTTAAAGATACGAAAAGAGGTAAAAACTAGAGAGAAAGTGGGTAGGATTTAGCAATGTACACACACCGCCTTAGTGTGGCGAGGGCGAAAGCTCCGGCCACCAGCAGCTCGAAGATCATCTCTTTCTCGTACTCCTGCAGGAGAGTCCTCGGCTTCTCCCGTCGATACTGCTCGCTCGCATCCACTCGCGCACTTTCAGTCCGACGACGGTTCGACAGATTTATCCCCGTTACCGTAAATGTTCCTCGAAATCGGTGCCGAATCGAATTGGAGAACACAGGTGATCACGACTACCAGCGGAAGACGCGCGTACTCGTAGAAAGAACGGTTCTCGGCGGAAGACCAGCGTAAACGAAAAAGTCAAGGGATCGAGAGAATGACAGAAAACGTATGATCGTATAGAAAAATCAGCGTGTCAGATCGATGTCAACGTGACGTAACAGCGCACCAGAAATCTCCACATCGTGCGAGCGACCCAGCTAGTCCCCTGTCCGGCGTCGGGAAATTCAGCCCCGCGTGCTCCACTGGCGATACCACAATTCGAATGACGCGTCCGCGGCGAGTCGCGTTAGTTGACATCCGAAAAACCGACGTGTCCCTGTTACGATCCCTTCGGGGCCTATGCGCAGACTTCCGAGCGGGAGAACCGATGCGGTTGACCATTCGGCTTGCCGATCTCGTGGTGACTGAGTGGGTCCTCGGTTGCGGCTCCCAGTTACTCACTCCGGCTCACGGACTTACTACTCACCTCGTCCTCTCGCTGTTGCACGCTCGCTCACCGGCACTCGGTCCCACCTCCTTCCCTCCTCGCCTGCACCTCCTACGACACCACACCTCCTCCTTCCCGGACTCTCCACGCTGTACTCCTTCGGCTACCTCTCGGTCTTCCCTGCCCTCCCACCTTCGCGCACACCACCCTCGCCGAACCTTGCCACTCGCTGCGTGGGAGATAGACACCGCGTCCTGGCCCCCCATCGTACCAACGATAATTTCATTATACGTACTGTTAACCCCTTAAGCACCGTTGTAGACCGTGTACCGTTTCACCGAGTTCGTTATGGGGTGGTGTGTGCACGCCGCGCTTCCGGTTCTGACAAACTGATACCGCGGCACGAAGTTTCCCTCGGCGAGCGGACAAGCGGCGAGTGTGTACGTGCATTTCTCAGAAACTTCGAGGAGATTGAAATGTTTGGGACAAGTTGAACGTGTGGGAATTGTCGCCGTCGCGGGAGCAACTTCTCGCGATCGCTTTTAACGGCGATGGACTCGCGTCTCGGTATTGATAATCGTCGGTGGAATGTGGAACTTTTAGGACGGTATACTTCGAGCGTAGATTCTGCTTCGTTAACTACGAGTTAAACTTGTCAGTGAACTTTGGTGCGAACCGATTTACATTATGCATAATTTCGTTTGACACTGAGTTTAGTAGATTCGTTTATTTTTAAATATTATTTGGTGAAGCTTGTGCCGATTTTGAATGATGTAGTTACGCGAATATCTATTCTAACCTTCTGTTTCTGAAGTTCTAATTCTCAAGATGTGTATGGGTGAACAACTATTTTTCTGGGAACAATGCAGTGAAAGTACAATAGACATCGACAAATTTGGTATGAATAAGTTATATGAATTGCAATGAAATTTTTGGAGTCAATTTTAAGTATTATGCTTACTGTAAACAATAAAGTAATTGTTTGAGAAATTATATTTTTATTTGTATTTTGTTTTCTTCAGTTATCTTTAACTAGGTATTTTTACTATAGTTAAAATATATGTATAATTATATTAAAATTTTGCAACAATTCTAAGGAGACTACTCAGAAGGATTTTCATTCATTCGAATAAAAGTATCATGCTTTATCAACAGATTTTATGAAGGTTAAAAACAAGTACATTAAACTCATACAGTTCACAAAATATCTACTGATACAACAGTGAAACAAATCAAATTTCGAACACTGTAATATCAATTTGCTTCTTTCACTTAATCCAAATCTAATCCTTGTTTGTGTCATTCAGATTCATGAATTTAATCTCAATTAGCAACCAATATATGAGCGTTTCATACTTCATTTTTTATAATTTGAAATATTAATTATGTAAATCTAAATTCTTCTTTTCTAGACAAACCATAATATACAACAGAAACAAATGTACAAATTCTGATGTAACAGATATGAATGTTTACTTGCGAATATTATTTCGTTATGTTAACTTTTCATTTTTTCCTGAAAAAATAGGAATAATATATAACAATCTCGGAAAGAAGACAGTAATTTATTTTATATACTGTAAATGAAGAATATGTTTTGAGTAATGAATAACTCATTGTTCGCCACATAGAATTATTCAACTCAATTATTCTACTCAACTTAAGAATGAAGGAAGATCACACAAACATTGGTCGGGGAATGTTTCCTCCCCAAAAGATGAACTCTTTGTTTTTTTATTCGATTTTGAAAATCGAATACCTTTCTGGAGAAACAAAATTTTTGTTAAACCAAAAAAATTCTTCAAAATCAATCTTAAAGTAAAACGACAATAAGCAATTTTGTTTGATAGTCTACTTCAAAAAATTTTAGATTTCTAATATTTTGCAACTAGTTTGATCGATGAGATCCTTCTTAAGCTTTTCAGGATTAGAAAAATAAACAGATCATGAACTTTATCAAACGAATTAGTGACATTATTAAAGACATAAAATAAGAGTTTTGTACACGAATAATATGAAATGCATGTACATAAAAGTGAGTAGACAATTTTAAATAATAAATATTTATATTTAATCAAGTACGCATTTTAGAACCTGCATTTGTACGATTTTTTAATATTTTTGCACTTTCTCTGTTGCAGTTTACAAAATTATAAATAGATTATAACCATTAATATATTGGAATTTCACGTATTTTTCATATATTAAATAATTTCTTGTAATATAATCACGACAATTATACGGTATACATGTCTTAATATTATTTTAATAAGCAGTTAAATTTAAAATTTCTTTATACACAGTAAACTTTCATTGTTGTTTGAAATTCACTTACGAAGATATTCGTTGCTTTTTCACACGAGGTGAATCATCCAGTTGGAACGAGTGATAGCTCGTAAAAAATTATCAGGTAAAAATTAATTCACTCGACAACATAGTCGTTTCTGTCCACGTGTCTCTTTATCGATTTATACGACTAAATACAAGAGTCACTTTTACACGCAATGCATTTGTACTTTTCGAATTTATTGTTACATTTTAAACAATCAATCTAATTAGCAGAAGAACAATGACACACAATGATCGAATTTGTGTTCTTTAACAAAACAGGAACAATCATGTGCTTTAATTATGTGATTTATTGTATGAATATATGTAAGAAGCTATTTTATATAATATTTGTTCTACATTTATATAACATTATATTTATAAAAAATGATTGTTGCAAATAATATTTTAATAATTAGGTATAGTAAAATCTGAGTAATTAGAAGATGGAAATAATTCGAACTTATAACGCACATGTGTAAATTTCCGGCCATCTATGGTTTTTTCAGCGATGAGTAAGAAGAGTCGGAATATCAGATTAGATGGGCGATAACGTGCAGAGAATCCGTTGACGGCGACAGAAATTCGGGGAAACAGTTTTATAGCATTTGAGGATTTTAATCTTTAATCAATTTTGACTCATCATCAAATTGAACTTGTCTTACTCAACATTTTTCTGTCATCGTCTACACATAGACATACAAGTGTTAAACTAAAATGGTAAGACCGGGAGGGTCCGATAATAGAAAAAGATCAGCCCGATTTGACATTTTCAAATGAATAGAAGCAGGAAAAAAGTCTGCATTTCACTTAAACAAAACAAATGAATCATAAATCCAATGTCAACAGTAATTGCGAAACCGTTTTCAACCTACAAACCTTATTTTACTACGCTAAAAACATTATGCAAATGTAGCTATACTATCCGGGAACCTTACTTCCATATCAGCGAACATGTACATAAATATTTATACACATATTCATAAAAATATATTGTTGAATTTACTTCAAAACAAATGTTAAGAACAACGTATTTGTCACTAAAACTACCAAACCAGTTAAAGTCACTCATTCCTAATGTCTTCTTTTTGCAATTGTCAAAAATATAACAAATGTTTCTCCGAGAAATTGTTAAAAAAATTGATTTAGCACCACGCAAACTAAATTGAAAATCAATTAAAGTCTTAACAAATGCACTCTTGGAATTCCTACAGAGAAATTTCAAAAGCTCAATTTAACTGCTCGGTAGTTTTAGTGTTAAAATATTATTTTTCATCACGTGTATCAAGTGACCGGTGTATTTGTAGATACGCTGTATTGTGTAACTTGTTCATAGAACACGTGAAACGCAAACCACAATGTAAGATACTAATAGTTATTTCAATGAATAATTAGAGAGGAATGGAAAAATGTACAGCCAATGATGACATCTCTCCAGGGGAAAAGATACGTTCCCGTATACGTCATTGATAAGATATTACGTCCATGATTAGATGTGTCGCACGACGCATTAACTGACTGCCAGAGACACACACGCTACGTACTCGATACACCTAACCTTACATATCATATGACACGCTTCTAGGTGTAGCAGCCGCGTTAGTTTGAAAAAGTTCGCAAAGGTGCTTCTATATGTATCGGGCGCGTTCCTCGGGGACTCACGGTCGGTCCCATTAGCGCGTGCAAATTATTCGAATATTATGCGCTGCAAATTAGAAAGCACCGCCACGAGGTGGCCCGCTGCGGGCCCCGAAGATGGTGCCAGTCGCCCCGGGATTTTAATTTAGCGCTTTTTTAACGCTTGGCCCCAGGACACGTGAAGCTCTTCAGAGGATGCATCCGCAAGGGGATCGAATTACCACGTCAATTATGGTGTCACGTCGTTAATTAACCGGTAGTCTGGCGCGCCGCGGAAGATCCTTCCGAAAAGCAAGTCATTTCGAGCGTGAATCACCTTGTTGGTACTAGACAAAATCATCATTGAAAGGAATAACTACACGTAACAGTACGATGACCGTGTTCAATTACATCTCGCCAGCTGGTAATCACCGTCACGGGTTAAATGATTGTTTGATACCTCGCATTTCGTTAACATTTTGACGAGCGGTGTTGCGGAGGCAATCTGGGAAATACGTGTTCAAACCAGTATGATATTAATCCCTTGAATGAAAATGACCAGTCTTACTTGCGTCGGTCCACCGTGCAATTTTGTAATTTATTTTATAAATCTGTCGTATCATGACTAAAATAATTTTCTTATTTTTGTAAAGAAGTTTAATTGAATCATTAATATTTCAGTTTCTTTTTGTAACAGTTGTGCCTACAAGCTTGGGACAAAATGGAATAATATAAGCATAAACACGTGAGACGAAATAAATCGCCAGGCAAGGAGTTAACCCTTTGAGTGCCAGAATTTTGCATTCGAGAAATGCATGACAACTTTAACCCTTAACGGATCAATGCCACCATATAAGCGGCATAGTACTTTTTTACTTACTGGATCCAATGCCTCGTATATGGCGGCAAAAATCATTTTATTATTTTTATCCCTGTTATTGTTGTAATATTTAAAATTATCACGTAAAGCATTGTGCTAGGTCACTTCACTTATATATCGGTCGATTTTTATCTAAAGTTCATACAAGTTTTACGTAATATTAAAAATGTCAGCCTTCC